GTAAAGCGTTCGACACTCTGAATCATGAAATGTTACTAGCTAAGTTACATTACCAGGGGTTTTCGCAGAACTCCGTAAATCTAATAAAAACATACTTAAGCAACCGTTCAAACTGTGTTATGTTAGCAAATGATTCTGCTATTTACAAAATCGATTTTAAACCTATAAAAAGAGAAGTCCTCAAGGTTCAATTTTATCTCCTTTGCCATTTTCAATCTACATATCTGACATAATCAAATCGGTAAAATTCGCAAAGATAAAACAATATGCAGATGACTCACATATATATCTCCCTGTCAATAAAACCACAATACATATTGCACAACAACAACTAAATTCAGATCTCCAAAGAATTGACAGATTTGCGAAGCATCACAATCTTAAACTAAACCCCTCAAAATCTCAAGTAATGGTTATGAATAAAAACATCAATGAAAGAGAACATTTTGAACAAAATTTAGTAATTTCTATTAACAATGACAGAATCCCCATAGTTCAGGAGACAAAAATCTAGGCATTATATTTGATAGCTCGCTTGGCTTCGGCAATCATATAAAAAACAACAAATTTAGCTTACATGCGACTAAAAAAGATAAACAAATTAAAAAAACATTTATCAGCAAAACAAAAATATTATTTGTGTAATACCTTAATTCTATCACTTTTTGACTATGGAGATGTCGTCTATGGTGATTCGCTGTCGTCGCGAACCAAAAAATGCATACAAAAGGTTCAAAATAGTTGCATGAGATTTGCGTTGGGAATTCCATATCGAAACCATATCACTCCTTATCTGAATAACTACAACATATTAAACATGACGAATCGCAGAAAATATCACACGTATTCTTTTATCTAGAGAGTTATAAAAACAGGTCAACCGCCCTATTTAAGATAAAGATTTGTGCCTTTGCCTAGTCCCCAGAGTAGCAGAAATTTTATCGTACCTAGGCATAGAACGCGTTCCTTCCGACGATCGTTTGCCTATGTGGCGGTTCACTTATGGAATAATTTACGAACTTCAGTTAAAAGCTCATCGTCAAAAACATTCTCAAAACTGACAAAAACGTTATTACAGAATCACCAGCTACTTTAGCAGGGTTCGTGTGAGCGAAAATATCGTTTTTATATTCCTACTCGCTGACAGGTTGTATAGATTTGTTCTTCGCGTCCGTTGCCAGCTCCCGGGAGTTCTTTCTTCGTTTTTGCCTTTTTGTGTTTCACCGCCTCTTCATTTGCATCTTTATTGTTTTTTTTTTATTTTGTTTAAGGACTTTTAGGGTGTTCAGGGCTTTCTCGCAAGGACTCTTTGTATTAAAGGTCCAATGTATCGGTTTTATAATCGAGAGACTGTCCTTTTTCGTCATTGCTCTATATGTAGAATTTCTTTTGTTTATGATGTTTATTCATGACGAAATAAATATTTTGAATTTGAATTTGAATCACGGTAGCGCTCGCCAGTGACAGTAAGGGAAATAACCTGCAGCGTCTTCAAAGAAGTAAGGTCCAATGGCTCCTCCATACCAAACACCGCACCAAACTGTGACTCGACGAGGATGTAGTTATCGTTCATGGATGACATGGGGGTTCTCTAATGCCCAGATACGAGAATTCTCTAATGCCCAGACGAGAATTCTGCTTGATAACAAATCCGTCCATACCGAAGTGGGCTTGATCGCTCATTAACAGTTGTCGGTAAAAATCGTTATTCTTGAGAACGATGTCTGGTAGATGTCTCATCCACTACACGTTCACGAACTCTCTCGATATTTTCCGATGTACGAGCATTTCGAACACGGCCCGACCTTGCAAGTCTTCTGTGGAAATTTCCGCATCAACTGACGAATGGTGTTGACACTAGGCACACTAATTCAACCGAAATCTTGTCGAAGCTTCCGAATCGTTGCAACAATCGACTCATTATTTAAGTAAAACGTTTCAACAATACGGACGCGTTGTGGGATCGTGTAGCGCTCCGTGATGAATTGGATATATGAGTCCACGAGATGCAAAACTCGCTAATCGACAAAAATTGAAAAAACTAGTTAAGCACGCCATCTTGTTCGTACAATATTTAATTAATATTTTACACAAGTATTTAGAGCAAACCTAGCTTTTTAACACAGGAAATCTGGCCCAAATATCATGACTTGATGCAAAACTCGCTTTATGCATTGACGCGTGCGATGCAATACTCTCTATTTGTAAGGCGTCCAATCACAACAGGGGATTTTACTCACGTGCTGAGTGACGAGCATCAGATGTTGGTTGTTCACTTGTGTGGTTTGAGTCAGTTGCGTTTTAGCGGTGTTCTGACTTGTTGTTTAACTTGAAGTTTCCTATTTTAAAAGTATTGAAATGGAAACAGAAAGTAAAATTTCTGCAGCCAATGATAGTGTTACTTTAGCGATACAACCTACTCCACAGAACATGTGTAGAAAGAAGATTTCGACGGAAAGTAAAAGGCAGAAGCTCAAAAGATTGAGGTAGTAAAAACGACGTCGATTTGTTAGAATAAATTTTGTTATAAAACTGTATTATTTTAGGTACACTCCGACACAGTTACCGGAGTACCCGACCTGTGGACATAATGGCTAGCCGGGCAACCGTATTATTGTACCACTTTAACAATGAGCCAAATTCAAGATTTTCATAGAAAACTGTATGCATCTAAGGAAAAATGTAAACAAGATAGTTTTATAATTGCAAGTTGTGAAGGATAGAAGTGCAATAGATCGAAAGTGAAAAAGGAAAAAATCTCCATATTCTATTATGTGAGAACTTCTGCTAAAGAAATCCGTGTTTGTAAGACAGCATTCTTAAAAATCACCTCCCTTAGTAGAGACCGGATTGAGAGAGTCATGAAAAATTTTGTTTTAAAAGGGAATATGCCACGAGAAACAAGAGGAGGTGATCGCATCCTTAATAAAAACGATAATAAAAAGTTGGCAATAAAACATTTTATTGAATCTCTCCAATGCGTAGAGAGCCATTACTGTCGAAGTAAAACCAGTACTCGTGTTTATTTACCATGTGAACTTAATTTTACAAAATTATGGAAAATATACGAATCCAAAGTTCGAGATAACGAATTACATGTTAAATTGGGATTTTTTAGGACATACATAAATGCTAATTACAACATCGGATTCGGCACCCCAAAAACCGATTTATGTTCCACCTTAAGAACCAAGGAAAAGTTGAAAACTAAAAATATTTCTAATTCAGAAAAGCAAATTATTATCACCGAGCAACGGGTACATAGACTCAAAGCAAAAGCATTTTTTACCTTACTAAAGCAGCCGCCAGAAAATACAGCGGTTTTTTCATTCGATTGTCAGAAGAATTTGCCTTTGCCGAAACTTCCGGATCAAGATAGTTATTTTAGTCAACAAATTAACTACTACAACTTTACAGTTATTCATGGACCATCGGCAGCACACTTGGTTCCAGAAAATGTTTTTTCTTATGTATGGACGGAGGTGGATTTTCCCAAAAACTCCAATTCAATAGCTTCAGCTGTCTGGGACGTACTGAATAAGGTTAACTTTCCCGATGAAATTGATACAATTCGCTTATTTGCTGATGGATGTGGGGGGCAAAATAAGAATATTATAATGCTGACCATGCTTTCTGTTTGGTTGATGACGAAAGCTCCCCAGAACATAAAGTCCATTAACGTAATATTCCCCGTAGTAGGACATTCTTTTATACCACCCGATAGGTTGTTCGGAATGATTGAAAGAGAAGTGAAAAAGAAATCTGTTATTTCAAAACCTTCTGACTACGACCGTATCATAGCAAATAAATCGACAATCCGGAAGCTGGGTTTAGATTGGCAGGTGTACGACTGGAAAAATGAAGCACAATTAAACACTAAAACAACATCATCATGGCACTTTCAGTTTAATAAGGCTAAAAGGTCTGTGCTTACTAAAGGGAAAAATAATGCACTAGTACGAGGCGAGCCCAATTATTGTGTTGACGTGGGCGAAGCAAAGTCTGTTGTCAAGAGAGGAATGAAATTGACATGCATTAATCCTACTCAACTTCCTATTGGCTGCAAACTCAAAGGCGATAAATCGACAATAATTGCTCTCCTCAAAAAACATTATGGAAATGCCTGGGAAGAAAATCCTGATTTGTTTTTTTTAAAGAAATCTTGTTAACCCTAGAAAAGCGGAAAACCAGACTTCTGTAAATGATGTTGAAGCTGGCTGCAGTGGTTTAAGACCGTGCGATATTACTCTACAAATTTAATGTAATCTATAAGTAACTATTTAGTTTTTTTGTGAATAAACTTTGTTCCAAACTATTTATGTCATATTTTTTGGTGCAAAACTGGCTAAATGCTTTCTTTTTTCTTCATTTATTTATTAAAACTGCAGAATTTTTTTAAAATACGTTCAAAGCTATTAGAGATGTATATGCTCTGAAGGCAGGTTAGCATTATTAATTGATTATTAACAAATTTAATTTAGGAAACGTTTTTCGCACTTTTCTCAACTTGTCGTTTACTGCATTAAGCGAGTTTTGCATCTCGTGGACTCATATGTGCTTTAAACAACTACTACAGCGCCACCTACTGAAACGCGTCTTTCAGAAAGCGCGCAATTTAAATCAGGCAGTTATATATTGGCTAACCGTATCTTATATTGATCAACGCGGCCCTTTCTGATTGAATTATTTCGAAATTTTGTGTATACTTAAAAAGAGAATTAATGCAAATTGCGCATTAGAATATTTTTTCTGGATATTGTTTCTCTTAAATGACTTTGGTTGACACTATGTACCTTGAAAAAGAAACAGTTACGGACCTATATTCATATGAAGTCTATAATTAGTCAAGGAATCGCTACTTGAAGTTTGGCCAGACTGTTTTATTAACACCCTGTATATTTAAAAGCATCTCTCGAAAATGTAGCACGCCCTCCTTCAAATGCTCATTTTTCACCCGCCTGTGACGTCAGGGACTAATCCAGGATTTTTCTTTTATACAGATTCCTGTCGCTGCACTGTTTTCTGTTCCCGTACTTCAGCTTTTGTCCTGGACGGAGGTGAAGAATACACCATCGTGTTCCAGAAAAACAGTTGGTAAGTTGGCAAAAATGCAATGTGATCAACGAAAAAGAAGGTTCGTGGTGCTGAGAGGAGGCAGAGGCATTCTGTGGTCTCGTGTTGATTGATTAACGTATTCTACCTGAAGATAGACAACCATGAACTATATTTTGGTGTCCATAAAAGGGATCTGCTAACGACATCAGCAGAATATATAAATGAATATAAATCGTGTCTCAATATTCCGTGGACATAGACTTACTTTTAGACTTACAATAAGTCTGTTGAATATTATTTACCTTTATGCAATAGTGCTTCGTTTGTCCGTTAGAGGGCATCAAAAGTTTCCTTTTCGGAAACAATTTTTTTCAGATATCTTGGAACCGATAGTCCGATTTGAATGAAATTTGTGAAACATGTGTTTTCTGGACGTCGCAATATTTGACTTTTACAAAAAAAACGAAACTGCTGCAGGGTGAAAACAACCCCCAACCCTACATAAGTCATAGCAGATCTTTTTCGCAGCTCCCCCAACGACTCTGAGGTTTTTTCAATTACTTAATTTTTTTTCAAAACAGATCGTTGTTTCCGAGAAAAAAATGTTTTTCGGAGCTGCTTTCTAAAAAACCTTCACATTACAAACTTCAAGTGTTAAAATTCTTTGCGCTGTATTGTTATGTTCAGGAACACTTGTGTTTTGCTGGAGTTCATAATATCTGACTTTCACAAAAAACCCGAAAGGGTTCGGGAAGGGTGAAAACTTCACCACTACATAAAGTAAATTTTTTCAGAACTCTCCCAATGACATTGAGGTTTTTTTATTTGAAATACCTTTTTACGACTTTATTTTTGGTCTCATAAAAACAGGTCATTTCGCATGGTTTTAGAGAATAAAATATTTTTCGGAGTTGGTTTCTATATTTTCTTGTTACATCAAATTTCTAGCACCGTATTGTTATGCTGAGGAACAAAAATGGTGATCAGATTGAACACCTTTTATGAAAGATTCACACTATTGCCTGTATTAAATAAAATATTCGCTAAGTACACTTAAAACATGAATAAGACGCTTGGGAACTTCTTGATGCAACACATTTTTTTCTGAAAACTATCCGAGATGGCCTGTTTTTAAAATGAGATAACAAATGAAGTAAACAAAAAGATCTACTAAACGAAAAAAAAAAAATCAGGGTCGAAGGGAAAGTTTCCAAAAAATTCTGGTAAAATTTATGGAGGGGGAGAGGGCTAGTTTTCACCGTTCTCGAACACTTTAGAGTTATTAGTAAATATCAATTATTAGAACGTCTATCAAAACATATGTGTTCCAAATTTCATCCTAGTCGTACTATCGGTTCTTTGAATATCTTAAAATAAAGATTTTTTCAAAAAAGCGCATTCTTGCGGACAAACGGAGCAGTTTTGAAAGGTAAATCATGTCTGATCGACTTATTTTGAGTCTAAAAATACCTGGTACATCTATGTCCATGAAATATTGGGGTACCCTGCAGAACTACTTTGAAAACGTTCCAAGTATTTAGCTGTGCTACTGTCTCATAGGTAGCACTAGGATTTGGACTCACTAACACCTTTTTCAATTGAGCTTGTTCAGGTGTAATAGGTTAAGATTTATTCATTCATTCAAAAATCTTTCTATCTGTGATGTTGTATATATTTTTAAGGCACAGATTGTGCCGTATACGTATTATTATTGTTTTTAACGATTCGCAAATTTTTAATTGTAGGCCTGCTAGTCTTGTATAAAAATTTATTTTGAGCGGATACTGTAGTGCAATTCTTTTAACATATTATGTCTAAGGGTATTTATTTGGAGATTTGATATGGGACTATAAAAAAAACATCGACGAAGCATCAAAATTTACCCTCCAAAAAGTATCTCAACTTTTTCGATGGATGAAGAAGAGTAACAAAACTCACCATGCAAAGCTCAAACATAAAATTTCGCGCCTTTGCTGATGAGATGGTAATGAACACGAAAGCGCTGACTGCGGTTGGAGACGGTTACAGAGACTTACGGCAAACATGTATATTTCAGCATGTGTCGATACAGATTCAGAAGTCGACGTCAAGCCGGAAACGGTAGTTACTAATTTGTAGTAATTAGTTACTACAAATTTCAATTTTTCCCTAAAGGAGTGAGTGTTATTCTCGTAGTGTCAGAAAGACTGATAATAACGCCACTTTTGCTAATTCGTGACTGTATTTATTAAATTCAGTAAAAATGTTCCTTCAGCAGCAATGCAAGCTTGGCATCTTCTTAAAAAATGATCAGGTTATCAGACGGGCGAATCTTCCGCTATTAACAGACTCATCTGCTTCCGTTATTTTGTCCTGTAATCTACCAGACCGCCCTGTCCATCTGCTCGTGTATTCCGTATCAAGATGTACTCTAACTGAACGTTCATAGTGCGCCGGGAAAAGGATACAATGATTCTCCTATCTAGAATCTCTGTCAACATGTTTACTTTAAAACGATACCGTGAGTATCTTGTCTCATCAAATCGCAAGATTCAGTGGGCTGTACTTTTGGGCACTCCCGTGCTTGCTTGTATTTGACGTACTCGGGTCTTGTTCGACTGCTTGTAGTACGACGTCCTCGAAGAAAAGAAAATCCCTCCTTCACCATGAGCTTGATTTGGGAATCGTCTCCCTGAGATTAAACGACGCACATTCACAAAAACTCGGTGATCGGGGTGAGAGCAGCATTTGGGTATCTCTCCTAGCTGCAACACTAGCATTGCATCTATATTCCCCATAAATGAGGACCATGTTGGCATATTCCTGTACAGTGTACCCAGTCATCACTACACAATCATGAATTAATAAAAGTGGCGATACTATCTGTCTTGCTTTCACTACGTAGAATGACACTCTCCGTCACTCTAAGAAGAAATTGAAATTTGTAGAAATGGGAACTAAGATATCATCACAATTTGAAAAGTACACGACTTAGACTTTTGTATAATCTCGTTTCTGGCTTGTCTTCGACTTCTGGGACACCCTGTATAGAAAAGCATTGCTGTTTGACACCGTGAATACATTTTCCGATTAATTGATAGGTCGACCGAGATGGTGGTGCGACATCTATCTATGCAAAGCGCAGAATATCGAACAATTATGAGCCAGAGACGTAGGGGGTCTTTCTCTTCTTTCTTCACATAATGGGATAAGGATGAAATTCAGCTTGACAAACCATTGGTAGGTGGAGATCGTCAGATGTCTCGCCTACTTGCGCATATCGAATGTGTCTATCCACATCTGGACTAACAATCTTTATTGTCTGACCTTCCATAAAAAATACAGAGATACTAAATGAGTTCTCTATTAGTGGAAGAATTTCAAATACGTGTTACTCAACATATAAGTCAAGAAATTTCAAATAAAGATTTTAGCTTTCCAATTATGTACCCTCAAAATCAATCTTTTAGCTATGATTTTAAACAGCAACCAAGAATATAACAATATCATATTTATTTTTAGTGTTGTTTATCGTTTTTGTGATACTTTGTACACGTGTATAGCTGCAAATATAATTTAGTGTGCAATTATTACCGATCGCTCTTTGTAAGCAAAGTAAACAGATTACAAAGAGTAGGTCGCCATCAGTAGCTGTTTTCACCTCGGCTGGAGCGATGACGTTGCCGAGACTGCTCGTCACTAACACAGGTTTTTTCTCGGAAAGTAATATATATGGCGGAAACCTCGCATAAATCATAACGCTACCGGGCGGTAACCCGCTGCAAATTTGTTTAAGCAATTTTTGCAATAAATAGATTTTCGGCTCGTCCGGAGTTCCTTTATGGTATTTGGATCATGCTTTTGCAGATTTTTAAATCGCTTATAACTGGAACGTCAACGTCAGAGAGGGGTTACTAAGGACCTCTTTTGTTTAAAATATGTAATCCAAAAAGCCTAAATGAATGAGAAAAACATGTTTTTGTCTGTTTCGTTTCAAAAGATTGTTCAAACTTTGCACCGTATCACCGCCCGGAAACATCATTATTTAGGTTAAACGACATCCAACAGACCTGATAAAAAGAGAGGGATAATCTCTCTCAGCTTACCAAAACATGAAAGGTTTTCACCAGTGCTCCTACTTCTGTTTAGTCTGTTTACTTTGATTGGAAGCACATTCGCCTCTGGATAAAATAATTGCTCAATTATCCAAATTGTGTATATATGTAACTATTGGAATGAACGTTGAAATTTTTATGTATTGAATTGTGAATAAACAGTTGTTATTAAACTGGTATTTTATTATGACCCAATTTCCTGTGCAGAAATACTATGGAGCATGGCCTGGTCATAAATTCTTAAAAATTGTGTTAAATAAATAAAGAAATTGTCATAGTAATGTTATTACCAGAGGTATCAAGCTTTATTACATTATCATTTCATCAAATACGATAAAGGTAAAATTCTTTAGAACCACAACAGAAACGCGGGGAGGTATGAAAAAATACTCTTGATATAACATTGTCGGAAAAATTCTTACCTCTCTAACCCTTGATGTTTCCGTTATCCCGATCCTATCCTACCTTATCAATTTTGCCAGTCTCCGTAAGTAAGAGTTTGCTATCAGGATCACAGAGACGCGAGAGGGTATGGAAAAGTCAGTCTGTTCCTGGTCTTTGATGGAAAATTCTATAATTAGAATTTTCACAATAATTTGTGACGAATGCCTCTCGACGTTTCTGCGATCCTAATACAAAACGCCAGAAATTTCGTTGAGTACTTTCTTCATAAAGTCGCTGGGTAGATTCAATATCAGGAAAGACACTTTACTCCTGGCGAACATCGTCTCGTCTTCTGCGATCGTGATATAATCTCTGAAATTGCTGACACTTTCTCTATCTAGTTACTGGAAGAATTTTACTCGCAAAACCGCATCAAGATGTGATATGAAAACGACTCTGCTGCTGATACAAGTTGGCAGGAAATTCAAATTATTAGGACCAACCTCTCTACGCTTCTGCGATCCTGATACAATATCTGAAACTTCTTAATATATCCATAAAATCGCTAACTACTGGCAAATATTTGCTATCAGGATCACAGAAATGCGAGGAGATATGGAAAAGACACATGACGCTTGGTACAATTTGGTGGGGGGTTTAAGTCATTGGGACGAATAACTCTAGACGTTTTTGATATCGTGATACAATACCTGTAATTTACTAATATCCTAAGAGACTTTCTTCATGGTATCACTAAATTACTGGACAAAGATTTGCTATCAGGAGCACAGAAACGCGAAAAGTTATGTAAACGACATTGTATTCCTGATGATATTTGGTAGGAAATTCTAATTATTGTGACGAATACCTCTCGACGTTTCTGCGATCCTAATACAAAATTCCTAATGTTTCGTTGAGTACTTTCTTCATAAAGTCGCTGGGTAAAGATTCAATATCAGGAAAGTCACTTTACTCCTGACGAACATATACTCGTCTCGTGTTCTGCGATCCTGATACAGTATCTGAAATTGCAGACACTTTCTCTATCACTAAGCTACTGGAAGAATTTTACTCGCAAAACCGCATCAAGATGTGTTATGAAAACGACTCTGCTGCTGATACAAGTTGGCAGGAAATTCAAATTATTAGGAAAAACCTCTCTACGCTTCTGCGATCCTGATACGATATCTGAAACTTCTTAGCATGGTCACATACATTCTTCATAAAATCGCTAACTACTGGGAAAATATTTGCTATCAGGATCACAGAAACGCGAAAAGTTATGTAAACGACATTGTATTCCTGATGATATTTGGTAGAAAATTCTAATTATTGTGACGAATACCTATCGACGTTTCTGCGATCCTAATACAAAATTCCAAATATTTCGTTGAGTACTTTCTTCATAAAGTCGCCGGGTAAAGATTCAATACCAGGTAAGTCACTTTACTCCTGACGAACATATACTCGTCTCGTGTTCTGCGATCCTGATACAGTATCTGAAATTGCTGACACTTTCTCTATCACTAAGCTACTGGAAGAATTTTACTCGCAAAACCGCATCAAGCTGTGATATGAAAACGACTCTGCTGCTGATACAAGTTGGCGGGAAATTCAAATTATTAGGAAAAACGTCTCTACGCTTCTGCGATCCTGATACGATATCTGAAACTTCTTAGCATGGTCGATACATTCTTCATAAAATCGTCAACTACTGGGAAAAGATTTGCTATCAGGATCACAGAAATGCGAGGAGATATGGAAAAGACACCTGACGCTTGATACAATTTGGCCGGAAATTCAAATTATTTGGATCAATCTTTCTACGCTTCTGCGATCCTGATACAATATCTGAAACTTCTTAATATATCCATAAAATCGCTAACTACTGGGAAAATATTTGCTATCAGGATCACAGAAATGCGAGGAGATATGGAAAGGACACATGATGCTTGGTACAATTTGGTGGGGGGTTTGAGTCATTGGGACGAATAACTCTAGACGTTTTTGATATCGTGATAGAATACCTGTAATTTCTTAATATAATAAGAGACTTTCTTCATGGTATCACTAAATTACTGGACAAAGATTTGCTATGAGGAGCACAGAAACGCGAAAAGTTATGTAAACTACATTGTATTCCTGATGATATTTGGTAGGAAATTCTAATTATTGTGACGAATACCTCTCGACGTTTCTACGATCCTAATACAAAATGCCAAATGTTTCGTTGAGTACTTTCTTCATAAAGTCGCTGGGTAAAGATTCAATATCAGGAAAGTCACTTTACTCCTGACGAACATATACTCGTCTCGTGTTCTGCGATCCTGATACAGTATCTGAAATTGCTGACACTTTCTCTATCACTAAGCTACTGGAAGAATTTTACTCGCAAAAGCGCATCAAGATGTGATATGAAAACGACTCTGCTGCTGATACAAGTTGGCGGGAAATTCAAATTATTAGGAAAAACATCTCTACGCTTCTGCGATCCTGATACGATATCTGAAACTTCTTAGCATGGTCGATACATTCTTCATAAAATCGCCAACTACTGGGAAAAGATTTGCTATCAGGATCACAGAAATGCGAGGAGATATGGAAAAGACACCTGACGCTTGATACAATTTGGCCGGAAATTCAAATTATTTGGATCAATCTCTCTACGCTTCTGCGATCCTGATACAATATCTGAAACTTCTTAATATATCCATAAAATCGCTAACTACTGGGAAAATATTTGCTATCAGGATCACAGAAATGCGAGGAGATATGGAAAGGACACATGATGCTTGGTACAATTTGGTGGGGGGTTTGAGTCATTGGGACGAATAACTCTAGACGTTTTTGATATCGTGATACAATACCTGTAATTTCTTAATATCCTAAGAGACTTTCTTCATGGTATCACTAAATTACTGGACAAAGATTTGCTATCAGGAGCACAGAAACGCGAAAAGTTATGACAACGACATTGTATTCCTGATGATATTTGGTGGGAAATTCTAATTATTGTGACGAATACCTCTCGACGTTCCTGCGATCCTAATATAAAGGGCCAGAAATTTTGTTGAGTACTCTTCATAAATTGGCTGGGTAAAGGATCAATATCAGGAAAGATACTTTACGCCTGACGGAAATATACTCGTATATCGACCTTTCTGCGATCCTGATGCAATTCCTGAAATTGCTGACACTCTCTATCACTAAAATACTGGAAGAATTTTACTATCAAATTATTTTAACCAATATTTCTCTACGTTTCTGCGATCCTAATACAAAATGCAAGAAATTTCGATGATACTTTCTTCATAATGTCGCTGGATAAAGATTCAATATCAGGCAAGCATACTCGTATATCGACCTTTCTGCGATTTTGATAGAATTTCTGAAATTGCTGACACTTTCTCTATCACTAAACTACTGGAAGAATTTTACTGGCAGAACCGCAGCAAGATATGATATGAAAACGATACTGCTCATGATACAATTTGGCAGTAAATTCAAATTATTTGGACTAATAACTCTCTACGTTTCTGCGATCCTGATACAATATCTGAAACTTATTAGCATGATCAGATACAATCTTGACTAAATCGTTAACTACTGGGAAAATATTTGCTGTCAGGTTCACAGAAATGCGAAGAGATTTCCATATTTCCACACCTGATGTTGATACAATTTTGGATATCCTGATACAATATCTGTAATTTCTTAATATTTCAAGACCCATTCACGAAATCGCCGAACTGCTGGATAACGATTTATGATCAGGATCATATAAACGCCAGGAGATTCGGAAACGACAGTCTGCTCCTACTAAAGTTTGGCGGAAAATTCTGATTATTGGGACGAAAACCTCTCAGAGCTTGTGCGATCTTTACAGAATATGTACATGAACCATGCCTGCTCCTGCCATATACAGCTTGTTGCAAAACTGTCAAATCCGGCAGGTAGTCCTTGCTAGGCCCACCAGATTAACCAGAACATGCTCTCTACGCTAAAGTATTTTTGCCTTATTGAACATCTGAAACTTCCTTCGTCCTGTCGCTTCCATGCTAACAATTCCTTTTTGGCTGTGTGTGACAACCGTATGGTTTAATCACTGTTCGTCACCTAAAATATCCAGAAAGACCCCGTTGATAAATAATAAGCTCCTAATTGTCTCGATGATTTAGGAGTACGACATCCCGTCGACAACTTGTCCGACCGCCCTAAAAGATATCCCGCTATCCCGGGGTCGGTCGTCTTAATTTCATCTCTGCTTATTTATAACTTTCCTGTTAGCAAAAATGCCTTCGCCTTTGTCGCCACATTCATCATCCCGATCTTCCGGAGCATTCTCGCGGAAGTTTCTGCCTTAAAAATTTCGTCCTTTAAAATTTAACGGGGCTAGATGAGAAAAGCCAATCTTAGAAGGTACTCGTTTTCAGACAGTGGTGGCCAAAAATGCTTTAGTACCATTCTTATTGGAGGCTCCTTGATACCCTTTTCCCTGAGCAAAATTTACACACGTAGTTTAAGCTTAACATATTTATTTATACAGGGTGTCCGCAAAGTTGGGGTTTTCCTTTTCAGAAACAACTACCCTTGAAATAACAAAGGTAATGTGTAGTGAAACGAGGGCGACCAAGTAAAAAAAAATAAAGGAAAAAGTACTCACTCTCCAGTTGACGAGAAGGGCTAACTACGTCTCTGCCTGAAATCGAAAGTTATTCACCCCATTACGCGTGAACGTAGATTCGTCTGTCACCAATATGCACTTC